CCTCTTCCGATTCGAAACTCCACGCAGCGGGATAACATATGCATTTATTGAGAGAGATTTTCTGCATAGCCCGAAATCAATCAGCCAATATGGCACGCCAGAGCAACTTATAATACAATGTGCTGGCMGCAACTGTAGTTTCACCAACGCAAGATTGTTTGACTTAACCAAGGATCACTACATAATGCTGGTTGCCTTGATCCACGACATCCTCACCATTCGGGTTTTGTGTATGTGTGTAGCCGTCTATTCTCTTACCAGACTGCTTTCGGCGCTTCTGGAACTCCATGAATTGATCAATAAACCGCTCATCAATGGCAAAGGCGGAAACGACAGTGAAGAACCGGTGATGTGAGCCTTCAATGTGAGATCCACCACTTGTTGAGTATCCGGGATCGACTAATTAAGGTTCAGTCTAAGGATGCCTCCAGACTCGTCACTATCGTCGGCGCAAAGGATTGACTCAATGCCCTGAATACGCAGAAAAATCTAAAGCCTATGACAAGCTTGTTATGGCAGGGACATTACATGAGTTCTTTCATTATCGTCTTCCTGGGTCCGAGGACAACCATACATTGAATCAAGCGGGAAGGAGAAGAATGAACTAGTGTCTTGATTAGAAGTACACCCGTCGCAAAGTTCGAAACAATCGGGTCCGAAGAGGCAGTCCAGCCCGTTTCGTCCAAAATACAAACGTTTCAAGACAGCTTACCGTATGATCTAGCTCGCCGTGAATATGGAGATTATTTTGCGCCCCTCAGGCCCGGTCTCTGTATGGTACACGCTGCCTGGAAGACATGTCTGCCAAGTGATCCCGATATCCCCAGAGGAGGTTTCTATGTGAGGATGCTCTACCCGTGTTTAGGCCAATGTGATCGATTTTACATACTTTTATTGGTTCGTTCTCGATACTATTTTGCATCTGTCTCACACTGTCATCCTGTAGGAGATGCTAGAAGATAGATATCTTAGCTCTCTGATGGGGAGGATCGGTGCTCATCTTCCTGCTGGCAGACATTGGACGGTGAACATGTTAAAGAACAAGTATAGGTCCTTTTCTGAGCAAATCATTCTCTTCTGATTGTGTTTCTTCGTGGCGTATCAAGTCTCTATGACGCTCTTAGTTACCGCATATCTACCTCATCGTGAATGTGTTGGTTCGATTGAACTGAGAGTAGTGTTCGCACGTCAAAACACAGCAGCCGGGCCGGCTTCCAATAGTCTAGACTATGATACAACATTGTTCCTCAGCATACGGGGTTCATTAAGGCTGCAGATCCCGACGTGATGTGGCCTTTCTCTACTGCAGACCATTTAGCCACTGGATTAAAGCTGGAAAGATGATATGTTTGTAGAGGCTACATCTACCTTGCAGGATAAATGCACTCCTCCTTACTGTGTCACTGCATTAGACATACTCACGGACCATAACATAGAATCACATAGAATCCCTGCTGACGACAACAGTCCAGTTGACAACGAGCCTGCAGACCTTCTTCGAGACCAGACAATCACATAATCCGACTCGGCAGAAGCCCGAACAGATTATTATACATTCAGATATTGAAAACCCCTCTCCCGGCTACCCAAAAAAGCAAAGGAGCTGCTGTGTGTGACCACGTATACAACACCGTACACAGTTTCCCCCTCCAGATATGGCTTTTTTGAATTGGTCCAAATTGAAATCACCCTCAGTAACTGAACGAAGCAGGTCCAGAACATTTGCCATTTAAGACGCCAACGGCCCGATTGGAAATGACGCAGACCATTGTCTCTATGGCACAGCTGAGAGACTGGCGTTGATCTTCCGAGATTGCTTTGAGTGATGGTAAGCCGAATTTTCATATCTCTTCCAAACCGATCTGCGTTATCGGAATTGGGGCGGGTGTCCTACATTCGTCTCCAGAATGGCCAGCAGAATAGCGTTTCAAAAGGACGCTCCATGCACAGACCAGCTACCTATTGAATAGGCATAATCGCAATGTGAGAAGCTGTACTGTACTTTCGCCGAAAGACGTATCACTTGCTTTTACAAGATGAGTATTTGTCAATGCTGACAGTGGTTTCCGGGTCTATATTGGCCGACTGAACTCATTCATGCGAGATAGAAAATTGAATTCATAGTAGTGCATCAGATTCTAGTCCTATCCATACACAACAGGCCTTAAGCAAACATAACTCTATTCCGGACAAAATCATTCCCGATCCAAGCAAGGACACACAGCATAAGGGCCAAAACCGGATACAAGCACGGTATCAAGGCCGTTCCACACTGACCTGGCTTGAATCGATACCACCCGGCCCCTGAGCTGGTTGCCAGCGGTAAAAAGTCCAGATGCTCGGCTCCAGCGATGACCTTGGACGCTGCGTCCGCTGGGACATCGCCGGCGTAGGGCAGGCAGTAGCGTCCGAGCAAGCTGAGGAACAGGTTCTGCCTTGTCTGCAATCTAACAACCATTCTTGCTCCTTGGTAGATTTCACGTACACGGCGAAATCGGGTTCGATTGAATTCTGCCAGGAAACCATCTATTTCGGCCGATGATAAGGTAGAGCCATCAGGCTTTGTTCGAAGAGCCCGGTGGAGGCAATTCACAAGGGCAGCGGCGTCTTCGATGGCGGAGTTGGCCCCTTGGCCTGTATTTGGGGCCATCTGTTCGAGGCATGTCAGAATCCGAGTTCATATCCCGGAAGACAGAAACCTACTTTGTGCATGCTGTCACCAATGCAGACGATTCGTTCCCAATGCCATGTTTGAAACACATTTTCCTCGAGATTCACGAAGGAGAACACCTCTCTATTCTTCCATAGGTCTTGGAAATACACTCCGTCCCAGATGTGATCATCGGCAAACCGCTCAGATACCTTCTCGGCGTCTGCGGAGGAGAAACGCGGAGCATTGGAGTACGAGTATTTGCGGTCGAGCTTCAGCAGGAGGAACCAAAAGATTCTACCATTTTTCCCGGGAAACGTGAGGTACGATCTGCCATTGTTGAAGCTGGCCACTTGCTCGCCTGCTTTCAGCTTGGGGACAGAAGACGAGATCCCGAAGATGCAGGCAAACTCGACTGTCATTGCTGGAAATTTAAATGTAATCAGCTTTATTCGATCGCATCTTCCTTGAATATGGCAGTACTCACAGCTCATTTCATGCTCAGGGAATACCCCTGGATTCCGCGAATTGGCCAGTCGCCACATTTCGGCGCGCACTCGACTGTGCACACCATCAGCACCGACAATCAGATTGCCATGATATACACATCCATCGTGGGTCGTGACCCTCATCAGGTCTGAATTCTCCCGCTCCACGGAAATGACAGCCTTGTCCACCAGAACTTGAGACGAATCAGGAAGTGTGTCATAAAGCACTCTGAGCATTCGTCTTCGCTCCAGAAAGGCGAGAGGCAGACCAAACCTATCAGCCAGATCAGCAGTGAATACGGTCAATCACATGTAGATAATACAGTACCGCTCATGAATAATCCGTGGGGCCTTAGTGGTATGCATAAAGCCATCAGGGAAGCACTGATGCGCCGTGTGCAATGGTTCAATCTGCTCTTCAACCAAATAGAATATCCCCAACTGCTGCAAAATCTGGCCACCATGAGGAAAAATACCGATAGACGCGCCCTGCTGCGGCGCAATCTGCTTGCGCTTTTCGAGAACGATGTAGTCGATTCCTGCTTTGCTGAGGCAGTGGGCGAGGGTCAGACCAGCGATCGATCCGCCCACGATTATGACTTTGAAGTGGGACTTGGTCGTCATCATAGGCAATGTACTCGAGTAAACTTCACTATTCGCGTCCAGCTAAACAAGGAGGGCAGGGGAAGATGAGAATATACGTCTCTTGGTCAGTGATGACGGAGCGCTAAAGGGAATGGACACAAAGATGGGTAGGTAATCTGAGTTAGCATATGGAGACTATTCTGAAGAGCACTCCTTGCTAGAATTGGAAATACTACCCTACATTGGTGTTGTTGTCGTATTATTCGTTAATGTCCTGCGGAAGGCAGGCGAAGCCTGCCCTCCTGAGGCCTCCGATGGGATATAGGGACGTGCTAAACTATGGAAATATGTACATAAATATGTGCATACATTGGAAGTAACCCAATACTACTACGTACCTTTATGTTGCATAAGAAACGCCTGTTTGCTCACAGAGGCCCTGATCGATCTGCCGGATTGTCGACAAGGAGAAATGATGTATTTCATCTTGTGTATATTTCTATATTGATATTCTGTCCAATCGGCTTAGGGGGATGTTTAGTGTCTTAGAAGTCTCATAAAATTGTGAGACTTGGTAGCAATTCGGTGAATAATGGACGAACTGCAGTCATCTGCATGTAGTGGTCAGTGTCCGTGAAAAGATACTTCGTTATCAGCAAACCCGCCTTTCCAGACAATTGGAGTTCTTGAAGTACCAATGTAAATCATGGCGGCACTCAGAAAGCTATTGGCAACAGGACCAGTTGAATTTGTCACGAAGTCGACTTGAAATTCAACAAGGAAATAATTTGGGGGAAAAAGCTCACACGTTGGGAAAAGCACGGTCAGGGAAGTGCTCTGTTGATTCGAACATGGATTCCTCGTATGCAGAGCAGGCATATCTGAGGTGACTATCATAATTGTATAAAGATACTCGTTATTGTGCAGGGAAGTGCAATATGCTTTATGTCCAGCCAATAGTTTGCGAGTCTGCGTCCATAGAACATGCAACTCGATTCACGCCTTCTTTACTTTGGCTCCTTTTTCGGTCTGCCAAATGTACCAGAAGATACAGCCATACATTATATCCATAATCAATGAGATGCCCGTAATCCACCGAGTCAGTGCATTGTCAAACCAGTCCCACTGCTGTGGCCAAAAGCAAGACTTCACCCATACACCGGCGATTGCCGAATAGGAGCCGAGAACGCGAGAGATCCTGGATAATCCGACAGAGACCAGTTGTCAGCTTCCAGCATATTCTATTCAAGAGAAAAAAGCCATTACAGCAAAGACACCTACCACATCGCCCACGACGTCCCGTGCGTGCTTCCCCGGTGCAAAATTTGACCCAAACAGTCAGCGCTCATAACCACCTGGGAAAGCATTCCTCCCCACCAGACGGCCTTGGTAGGGCCCAACATTTCCGCGAGCGCATGATAACCCGATATGAAGCCCAAGATAGTCAAGGCGATGACCAGGGGGAGATGCTTGTGCATCAGCGGCGAGGGAAGCTGCTTTTCCATGGATACTTTGACCGAGCCGTACACAATGACCATATTGACCGACAGCCACATGGCAAAAAAGACGTCGAGGAGGAAGTAAGGGGGCCGGTGTATGAGGACGACCGTGATCTCCCAGGCGACATTACAGCAGAGACAGACCAGAGGCATCACGCACACCCTGTCCCTGAAGATCTGCCGCACCGTGACGATGTAGTTGATCACCCAAGTCGCTCCGGTGAAGATGACCAGTATGTCACAGATAGGTTTAATGGCCCGGAATTTGGCCGGAGCTGAGGAAAGGTCAAATGCGTCCATGATGGTGGGCAGTAGGGATGTTGCTAATGTGATTCTGACTGAGATTGATCAGGGTACAGTTCGGAGAATATCTAGACCCAACGATTGTCGCTTTCTAATGGTTCCTGCTCCCTGTCAACTAGGGGTGTCATGATGATACGTGTTATATATCGAATCCCTCAGCCATAGAGGTGTCTAGACAATCATCTCTAGCTAGTAGGGATGATGGCAGTAGAGTCAACACAGCAGGGATACAACAATACGTCAAGAGGCAGTATCCGCCGCAATTCGGTGGATAATCCTGGTAGGGCACAGTACTCCGTATATTGTGCATCCACCTGGTCGGACCTGGTTGCATGTCGGCCCCAGGAAGGAATCGGAATCGGACGGGAATTGTGCATTGAGAGTTATGGGATGAGCTGTTCCTTGTCGGTGGCCGGTCAGGGATAAAAACTCTAGTCCAGCTAGTAGACGCCATGACCTTGGTTTAGTTGACAATGTGGGAACAAGCGATATGCCAGGCTGACACCCTCGGAGCAGGGATGCAGCTCCTGAGTGACTATCTCCTCCGGGTTGGTCCTTTTCCATTTTCCACGTCGTTAGCAGTATACTCCGAAACCACACCCATTGGCATGGTCACAGCATTCTTTGATCTTCGGCGGGCGTCGTAAAGTTACATTTCATATGGATAAAATAAAGTTGACTCCAAACTAGTCTCAAGCTTGAACCATTGCGGCTTGTCTTCTTGTTCTGATTTGACTCAACTGTGCCTGGGTTGTACAGTTCTATATATTTCACATTTTAAAATACACCTGTAAAGGGCCAATTCATATCTCTCTGGTACCTAGTAGTCTTTGGATCTACCTCCCCATCTGCTGCAATATGGTATCAATTCCAGTTACGTCCCTCTATGGGCTCGATCGCCAGCAGCCCTTCCAAGACCCATCAAAGTCGCTATGGACTCACTTAAACTTGCTCATGCCTCAAGAAGCCCAATCTCAGCCAGTAACTGGCACTCTGACCGAAACAGAAACAACAAGCTCTAGTTCCGATTGCGAGTCTCACGGTGCATCTGACCTCGAGACACATAGAAAGCTCACTCAAGAAAAGGTACGCGGTAAACCTTGCCCCTTGGTAACGTTATGTACTCTAACAAGCTTTCCCACCAGATAATCTGGGCTCCTCTTGATTACCTTTGCAATTTCCCAGGCAAAGATATCAGAGGCAAGTTGATTTCGGCTTTCAACCAATGGCTCCAAATCCCAGAGGACAAACTCGACGTCATCAAGCGGGTGGTCGGCCTGCTGCATTCGGCCTCGTTGCTGTACGCTGTTCTCTGCTTTTTTCTAGGCGAGATGAAGCTGACAATTTACAGAATTGACGATATACAAGACTCGTCGAAACTCAGGCGAGGATTCCCCGTCGCGCATAGCATTTTCGGTATCGCGCAGACTATCAACTCGGCCAATTTCGCCTACTTCTGGGCTCAACAGGAGCTACAAAAGCTAGGTAAGCCTGAGGCTCTGATCGTCTTCACAGAAGAGCTGTTGAGGCTCCATCGCGGGCAGGGGATGGATCTCTACTGGCGAGATGCCTTGATCTGCCCCACGGAAGACGAGTACCTTGAAATGGTTGCCAACAAGACCGGCGGGCTGTTCCGGCTTGCGATCAAGCTGATGCGGATGGAAAGCCAGAATACAAAGTGAACCACACTCTTTACACTGCATGTATGGTGATTAATAGAGATACAGGGATTGCGTGCCGCTCGTCGATCTCCTCGGAATCATTTTCCAAATCCGCGATGACTACCAGAACCTTCAGAGCGACCTGTATGCTAAGAACAAAGGATTCGGTGAAGACATCACTGAGGGCAAATTTTCCTACCCCATTATCCACAGCATTCGCAGTGATCCGAGTAATTTCCAGTTGATGAATATTCTGAAGCAAAAGACTGACGACGAAGATGTCAAGCGGTACGCTGTTCGCATTATCGAGTCTACTGGAAGCTTCGATTATTGCCGCAAGAAGCTGGCGAGTCTTACAGCAGAGGCGAGAGAAATGCTGAAAGATTTTGGTGATCTAGGCAACACAGATGGGTTGAAGGGTATATTGGACTTTCTGGAGCTGAAGGAGTAGCTGCTGCTGGTTATCATCTGCGTGCATATCATGGGCATGATGGTTGCTAGTTTATAGTAATTTGCAATTTAATTTTATTTCTTTGTCCCTCCTCTTCAGGTCTTGTCTACAAGGTTGATAATCAGCATGTGCCCACACAGGGTGACAGGAGTTTATCTACGGTCTTAGTCAGGGTTCCTCTTCAGAACAGAGTCAGAATGCAGAATCATGCTCGTAATATTGTGGATATTTCTACTCGTAATATTGTGGATATTTCTACATACAAGAGTTCACGTTTTATGCCAAAATTCAAAGGAATGAAACAGTCAAGAGAGCATATTACATTAACCAAAACGAGTAAGCATATAACCAGCACATACCTCAATCAACCATTACTACCTGTTGAACTAAGGGTGATTATTCCTACCCATACACTCGACATGGCAAAATTGGAGATATTCGAATCAGTTATATCCATAAATAAATCGAATAATGTCGAGTACCTGCCAAGGGTGGCAGTGCTGAGTCAACTTGAATCCATCGGCATTCAGTCAGCAGTAACTCAATCCAATTACTCCCCATGCACAATCAGCCGCAAGTGTAATGCATTCCCAGCCATAGATCAAGATCCAGATTGTTATAAGCAGCTGCCATGTTCAGAAGAATCATCTTGTTCCAGGCCATAATTCAATAGTTCAAAACTATGATGCCACTAATCACTATCATAGGTCGCAGAGCCAATAGTGTCGACTTACCCTGGTCCGTAAGCTGATTGTCAGCCATGGAGGGGTACCCCGGCTCCGGACAAAATTCATGCAAGGCAACTCCGTGAACACCGCGCCAATCAGATTACTTTTCGATAGATGTCTTTCGAGCCCGAGTCCATGGCTTGATTTTGAACGAGGTACATTAGCCGCTCGGTGTGATAAGCTACTGCAGTCGACGCCTATCAAGCCCCTTCTTCACGGTTGTCGGCTTACTGGACAGCTAAAGAACTCCTGTTGGCGTTCTGAGCAGCACCCCGGTTAAGATAATGGGGTTGCAGGATTGCTGATATGCTCAATGTGGCAGTTCCGAGGCTTGTTAGCTAGCTGCTTGAGTGATTGTCGAGTCAGGCAGCAAGCGAAGCAGTGACGTGGACTGATCCTTGATACCGTACATCCAAATCAGTCAGTCCTAGTATGTAGCTGTCGGTGGTTTTCACTCGCCGTCGGGGCTTTTCCTTGTTTGTCAGCTCCGAGGAAGGTAATGCTGGGATATTGAGGTAATATTTGAGATGTATATTTTTCTCCTTGGACATCATCCTCATTGATATATCAGTCATTAGTTGGCTTTTTGCTTCGCCCTTCACAACTCGTTGTTAGACAGTGGAATGCTCAAAATGTACAAAGTCATGGAAACTGGCCCATCTTCTCACCGGCGATCCGTCCTGCAGCTCGGGAAGGACCTGCTTATCCTATCCAGATTTCACAAGTACAACCCATGGCTTGCTGTATTCTCAGGAGGTGTGTCCCTTCCTTATATACAATATTCATCCATTAACCTCGGGCATCTCAGTTTGGGCAACGTTGCTTGCCGGTGCTAATGAAGTAACCGCTAATCCGACCTCGATCTCGACCAACCACATCCTACAACAGGCTCTTCTATGTTTCCTGTGCGGCTACATCTACTGCGGTGCAGGCATGGTCTGGAATGACTGGGTCGACCGCAACATCGACAAAAACGTAGCGCGCACCAAGAATCGACCCCTGGCAGCGGGGAGAGTGACTGCAACCGAGGGCTTCATCTGGATGTTGGTCCAATTTGCTGCCTCGTTGTGGCTGATGGATATTATGCTGGAAGGTCAGGACGTGTATGAGAACCTCTCACAAGAGTCTCAAAAACGTGGATAAAAAACGTGGATAACTGATCAAAAACAGCGCGGCTGCTATGATCCCAGTCACAGTCGCCACAATCCTCTATCCCTATGGAAAGCGTCAATTCTTCCGACGACTATACATCTATCCCCAGTACTTCCTCGGTTTTACACTAGCCTGGCCCAGCGCAATCGGTTGGATGGCAATCAAAGGCCGCGAGATCCCAGTCACGCAAAGCATCACCGAGTCCCTCCCGCTGGCAATCACCGTCTTCGTCTGGACTCTGTACCTCAACACAGCATACAGCTACCAAGACATCGTCGACGACTTAAAGATGAACGTGAACTCGGCGTACGTAGTCGCGGGATCCCGCATCCACTTGTTCCTGATCGTTCTGGCAGGTCTGGTACTCGGTTCGGTCTACCTGCAGCTGCGGGCCCAGAATTCCGGCTGGCTGTGGGCCTCGTGGATGTGTGTCTGGGCTTTATCCTTTTTGCATCAGCTGCTGAGATTCGATGCGAAGAAGCCGGAGAGTGGTGGCCCGCTTCACAAGGAGAACTTTGCGCTCGGGCTGTGGACTATCGTTGCTTGTGTTGTTGAGTTGGCACTCACGTCGGGKAAGATCGATCAGTTCGTGTCTAGCTGGGCCTTCCGTCTCCAGTAATTTATACTGTGACGATGACTCTGGTCGAGGCATGAGTCAACGATTTTTGGCTCGGTGAGGCAGTACCGCGTGCTAAAGGACCAGGCGGCATGGATTCTGCTCCTGGTGATGGGCTCTATTCTTGAGTGGCATGGTTGGACGATTGGGACGAACAATTCATAAGACTTTGCGTTTGTAGGCTCTGTCCGATGTGCGAGTACGACCGTCGTAAGAAGCAGGATAGCTCAAACGATAGTATTTCATTCCATGCTTTGAGTGTCTAGTTTCCACTTCTAATCTTCATAATCTACGATATATTTTAAGTATAAGGCATAATACTAACTCAGTACTGCCAGACACTAAGTGACACTGGTCCCGACTGTTACTACCGCTGAGTTCGACAGACTGCTGCAACGAAAAAAGAATAGTACTGTTATGCCTGGCTTTGATGCTAGGAGCAGCTAAATTTGTTTCGTGAATGCTCTGTCGGATGTATGGTATAAATTATCCACTTGCTGGAATGTCAACGGCTACAGTAATGATGCCACAGCAGGACGGGCTATAAGCGACACTGGACCAGGGAAAGAAGTAACAAAAATCGAGACGCACATAAATCGAATAATAATGGACACGAAGAACCAAAAAACCCAAACATAGAGAGAAATGTAAAAATGATGGTGAAAAAAAGAAAGGTCGATCTACATGGGACTCGAACCCACAACCTCCTGTTATCCAGCATAGGAGACAGGTGCTCTACCATTGAGCCAATAGACCTTTGTAGCCCAAATTGTCCCATTTTGCTCTTATAACCCAAAACAATCCTCAATGTTAAAGATTTCTCGATCTGCGGGGTAACCATATCAATGCAATGTGCTCGTAAACAAACAACCCAGTTCTTAAATAAACAACTGAACCACTCCATCCTCAATTACAGCAAGAAACCCCCAGACCTCAAATCCGAAAATGACCACCAGCCAAAGCAGCAGCAGCCTCTCAACCAGGGTCTCCCTCCGCTGGCTCCCCGACCCCGCCTTCGAAAACACAGACACCCTCGTCCTGTCTCTAATGGGCTGGTACGTTGATCTCCGCGTTGACAAATTCTCCGGTGAAATCGACTGGGCAATCGCCGGCCAACGCATCGTAGAAAGTCAAGAGCCGCGTATGTCCCCTCGCGCACTGTGACACAAAGCCACTAGCTAACCGAGGTACAGTTCGCGTGCTTTTCACGCACGCCATCGACTCGCATAATGCGTTTGATGCAGTGGATTGCGGGAACTTTGCTGCGCTGCCGAACGGGGATGACCTTGAGACGGGGTCGATGCCTCGTTGGGATCTTCCTGGTGCGCCGGTCAGGGAGTATGAGGAGGTGTGGCGGGAATTACCCTTCAAAGAGGGACCTGAGGGTCCAGGGAGGGGAGTTTCATGGGTGCTGGAGGCGAGGGGGGCTAAGCAGGGTGGTAGTGGTCAGGATGGGAGTACGGTGGCTCGGACATTCATTGCGAGGATTTGGGGGACTTATGTTGCGCTGCGTCAGGAGCAGACGCACTATGGTGGAGATTCGAAAGATGTTCCCAAGAGCGGAGGGGAGGTCAGCGCTAGGCGGGAGGAGTGGGACTCTGCGTCTGGGTGGAAGGCAAAGTACGGCCTAGGCCCGGATGTCGACAAACTACCCTCCATGACGGCAATTGACACCGAAGAAGGAGATTGGAGCATCGGCAGTGAAGTGGTGCTGAGCGACCAACCATACATTGTACGAGCGTTTGAAAGAATTAAATAAGAATGATCATTGGACTAGTCTATATATCATACAGGTATATACATGAGATTTCGTTAATTACTGGTCGTTAACAAGGACGTAGCGGTAGCGGGCCTTGCCAGCGTCCATGTCGACAACGGCCTGGTTGGCGTCCTTCATGGGTCTCTGCTGGATCCAGGGGTGGACACCCTTCTCCGCGGCGAGCTGGAGCATCTCCCGGATCTCACTGGGGCTGCCGATCAGGGAACCGCCCATCTTGACTCTGCGGCCGATCAGAGAGAACGCAGGGATCTCCAGAGCACCGTCCTCGGGAGCACCCATCTGGACGAAGGCACCGTCGGTGCGGAGAAGAGAGCAGTATTGCACAATGGGCATCTAGTGATGTCAGACATAGCCTCACTAGCCAGACATAAGGAGTGATGATACATACCTTGGAGGAAGAGACAGTGGAAACAATCAGGTCAAGGGAGCGGTTGTGGCGCTGAACCCAATCATCGTCATCAGTTGCAATGTATTCATCAGCACCCAGCTTGAGAGCATCCTCCTTCTTGTTGGCCTTGCGGGAGATGGCGACAACCTTGTCAGCGCCCATGGCCTTGGCGAACAGGATACCAAAGTGTCCCAATCCACCGATTCCTACGACTCCGACTTTCTTGCCGGGACCGCAGCCGTAGTGCTTCAGAGGAGAGTAGAGGGTGATACCACCGCACATCATGGGGGCGGCCTCCGCAGAGGAGATGGCATCGGGGATCTTGAAGACGAAGTGGGAGGGAGCACGGTGGTACAGAGCATATCCACCGTACGATTTGTCACCGTTCAAGTGGACGCCATTGTATGTGCCGACCATTCCATGGCTACAGTACTGCTCCATACCGGAGGCACATTCCTCGCAGTCGCCCTTGCGGCCCAGACAAGAGTCGTTCTGGGCTCCAACACCAACACGGTCACCGACCTTGATGCCTCCCTCGGCCTTGGAACCGACGCGGACGGCAATACCGACGATTTCGTGGCCGACACAGCAGGGGTACATGGTGGGGCCCTGGAGAAAGGTTAATATCACCGTCTAAAACGCATGCCGAAGAAAACATACCCATCCGCTTCTCAGGGTGTGCAGATCAGAGCCGCAGATGCCGGAGTGGGTGATCTTGATGTCGATATCGGTCTCCTCCCACGCCTTGGGTGTGAACTCCTTCCACACCATCTTGCCCTCGACGGCATTCTTGTCAAGACCAAGCCAGCCCTCGAACTTGTAGTCGGTAGCAGCCATTGTAACTTTTCGTTCCGATTTAGTTTAAGTTTGTGAGTGGTAAATCTGATTCTCCGCGGGTCCTCATGAAGCCTTATATAGACCGACAGCGCCGAGGCAAGATGGAAGATCATCGGTGCTTAGCAATCGAGCAAGAAATTGCTGTACCCACTCGCCCTGACCGTGGTAAGCGCCCACTTTAATCTCCATTATGTCCGGCAAACCGCCACAGTGATCGGGCCGGTTCTCTATCATTTTTGGTCTCTCAAAGCGTACGGTATGGTATGCCTTTGGATGCTGGCACATAGGACGTTTTCGCAAGTTGTCGTGCTGATAAGCTTCCTTACAGCTTGTAAGCTTAGTGCTTGTTACGCTGGTGCTTACGCTGGTGCTTACTCGGGGATAACTCAATTCTTCACACAAGGGTGGAAAGGACGGAAGTTCGGGATGATTCCATGGGTGGGGCGCTGGGCCCTCGTGGCTATTCTTACCGTCTTTCCGGTTCGATTCTTCGATTCTGATTGGCGACACAAATTTAGGCACTGGGCCCACATATGCAGGTCGCTTACTGCTTTTCGTCATTTCTTCAGAATCTCATCTCCACACTCGGGGCAGATTATGTGAACCCGCTCGGAAACTTTCTGCTCAAGTTGAGCCGACTCCATGGTCGGTCAGGGGTTGTGTATTATTCTAAGCCCATGGAATAAGTTCCCGAGTAGTTGGCGATGACGCAGGTTTACATTAAATCAGAGAAGCCGTGCTGTTTGATCACTGATCTAGGCTATTATTATTTACAGTCTTGTCACATCCTTAGAAAGTAACCATTACCTGACCTTGTTTCCCATCTTAGTACCAGAAATTGATTAGTGATATTTCCAACTTCATACCCCTTTCCAGCTATCGACGATGCTTAGAGATAAAGGCACTATATCAACGACCCGCATGGTTCTAGAAACTTTCCCCAGCTTTTCACAGTTAACCCCCACGTGTGAAGGTGCGCTATCCAACGATTGATCCAAAAGGACCCTGTGGCTTCACAAGGCCTCGTGTTTCGCCGGGAACTTCCGCTGGTGATTGGATAGATGACGAAACCGAGTCCTCAACTTGGGAATATGTAACAATTCAGAACGCGTGCAAGATAAGGACGGAGAAGGCCCCTCCCTCTTGCAGCATGTTCAAATGGTGCTGTGGTGATTTTGAGAGCACCGAAGATTGCCATCTCTTGACCTTAATCACTCTGTGAGGTATCATACTATAGAAGTGGAATTTGGCTCGAATAAAAGATGGTGAATAGCGCCCCTGGACGTCTTAAGGCTGGGAAGTCTGCGAGAGGAAAGATAGACTTCAAGTCCTAGGGGAGTGGCAGGGCTATATGATTAACACTCACTCTTAGAATAGAAGGTATCGTGAAGTAGTACTCTATAAGGAGAGATATATCCACTGTTGTTTCTATCTCATAGTAATGTCCTGTTCAATACCAAATCATATAAACCAAAAGCAGATAACGCGTTATCAATGTCAGTGATAGTCCAACCCCAAGCAGCATGAGATGATAGTCAGCCAGTCACGAACAAATTAAGCCAAGCTAGTTCATTACCTTCACAACTTCCACCCACTATCTGCTCGTCGTAGAAGGCTTCCTCATGACACCATGAAGTCATTAAGTGATGGCATTGATTGCTGTTGGAAGCAGACCAATTGCGAGGTCGACTAAGCTATTACATTACAGTAAGAATATCGATACAATCGAAGATAATGATGCTTTCACGCCAATCCTGAACAATCAAGCTTGCCGCTTCTCTCGCTCCGCGCGCCTCTTCTCCCTAGCTTCCGGACCAGCAACCGTACCCATCAACACTAGACGGCGTCAGCAGATATCACGAACGACAACAGAAGACACTCACCATCCCAATGCCTAAACGAACTGGAATAATTCCCCCAAAAGTACCGATGGTGATCATCGTGCCAATCCGCCCCGCCCCAGAACGGCAGGATCCGCCTCAGACTCCAAGGGAAATCGTAGCCCGAATGCGCATCGATGGCCTGGAACTGCCGCAGCGTCACCCATGCCAGCACCGTCACGAGATGCACGTTGCAGTTCATCAGTCCCAGGATCAATGGGGGGCCGATGGTGCCCAGGCCCAGCAGAAGGGTCTCCCAGGGACTGGCGTACTCGGCCGTTAGCCCGAAAGGCGCGGCGTATTGGTGGTGGATGCGGTGGATGGAGCGGTAGAGCGGGCCCCAGTGCATGGCGCGATGCAGCCAATAGTGGTACGTGTCTTCAAGGAGGAAGAAGGTGATTGTTTGGGCGGTGAGGGTGCGGAGGTCTGGGAATGGGGTGGTGAAGCTCAGGCCGCAGAGTTCCATCATCGGGTGGAAGAGGACGATGAGGGGGAGCTCGATCACGAAGTGGATGAGGAGGATATACTTTGTGCAGGCCCATTGCTCTGCTGCGGATGGAGGAGGTTTCTGATCTTGGATCTTGTATTTGAGGAAGATGCTGGGGAGGGCGTCGGCGATGATCCAGGGCAGACAGCGGCTGAAGTAGATGATTTCGTGGGCGAGAAAGGTGATGATTCCTACATTTGTTAGAATTGGGACGGGACTGGTTGATCGCCGTTGGAATGGCTTACCAGTCGCGAGGATGTTATTGTCCCAGAAGGCATAGTGCGCCCACCAGAGACGCTCGAGACTGGAGAGATGAGGCTTTTGCTGAGCGGCGAGGTCGAGAAGATCAGAATATGTCGCCATGGCTGGCTGTGGATAGGTGGAATTGAGCGAGTCCATGGCGAATACCTTAGTACTGGCTCAGTAGAGGGAGAGTTTGTCGGAAGCAAATTGATATTGTTGATGCTCTATATAGACCGCGCGGATAGGTCAAGCTACCCGGGATGGCATGATCCGAATGGCTGGACCAGCAACAGGCCACTCGGGAAAAAGGTGGATCCTAGGATAGTAGCCCTGCAGGGACAGGCGATCATGATCTCTCCTTACCTTAATCACTGATCGATTATTTTAGAACGGAATACTCTGCTAATATTTTGGTGCCTATTAAGGCTCGTACGACATCGGCCCGCAGTTGGTGGATCGCCGCCCGCCAGATTCAAACGGCGTCAGAGGCTCAGAGCGAATGCCGAGACGGTGTTTGAAACATAAGGTAGCATTATTGTGGTTAGATTAAATTGTAAATGGCGTGTCGGCATCTGCATTTACCAGTTAAATCAATGTATCTTCGCTCCCTCCTCTCATTCGCTTATCTTCTTATGCAATATTTCTTTTAACAACACACTGTCAGACTTCCTTTTTTATTATACAGCCAGGTTCTCGCATATGATATGAAACACCAGGATAACGAGCAGGTTCGTCCTAGCCTTGACTTTTTCCCAATATCTTGAACATGTGCACAAACCGCTACGGCCCATCATCATGGCCACCGATGAATGTATAGCACACCATGTCATAATCCATCAAACATGAAATGCCGCAGCGGCGACAGCCAACCCAACCGCCACAGTCAATTCCACGCTCAAGGAACCAGCCCCACCAGACTGCTGCGCCCCTGTGGCAGATGCTGTGGCAGATGAAGTAGTCGAGACCAAAGTGGAAGCGGACGCCTCCCTCGTGCTGGCAGAAGCACTACCTGTCTCTCGCGGCCCATCGCAGTGCCAATGGTCGCCGTGCGGTTTGCATCCAACCGACTCTGTGGGACTGGGGGCCGTCGGAGTCGCGGCGCCGTCCTTGTCTTCATGGTCGTGATCGTGATTGTGATCGTGGTGGTCAGAAGGCGCCGTTGTCATGGCCGCGGTGGAGGCGGGCCCGTCGCAGTGCCAGTGGTCCCCGTGTGGCTCGCATCCCACAGACTCAGTGGGGCTTGGAGCGAGGGATAGCTCGCTGGTAGTAGTAGCGGCTCCAGTTGCTGGACCATCACAGTGCCTATATGCTGTGAGCTTAACTGGATTGATTGTTTGCCTTCGTGTCATACCAGTGGTCGCCATGTGGCTTGCAGCCAACAGAGGCTGTAGGCGATGGACCGGGATCTTGAGCCAAGGCCGAGGTGGAGGCCAAGGCGAGGAGAGTAAAGAGGAGGTGCTTCATTATGCTCAACGGGGACAACGGATCCTAAAGGAATGGAGGGAATGGGAAAGTTGTTCCTGGAAGGAAAAGAAGGGTTCGGGGGTTTATATGTGCTTGCTGGAGCCATGCTCGGTCCCTCTTCCAGTGCTGCCCCAAGACCGTCTTTGATTAACGGTCTCTTAGCCTGAGGGAATATGACATTGCCAAGCAGAGTGGAAGACCTTGGCGTCTTCAAGGTTCTCACTTGGTAACCTTTGTAGTACCATGTCCTGTGCCTGCACCGGGGCTTTTCAACTGCGGACAGGCTATGTGGGAGGTGGGAGCGATGATTGGGTGTCCAAGAATCTTAACACTGAGAAAATCTGCGCAGTCCCTGGAGCAAACTGAACATGCTAGATTAATTCCTATAGCTGTAAACAGAAATGCCAAGGACCAAGTCCGCTGAACAATGTGATGCCAAGGATGCTTGTGAGAACCTTGGGGACGATTTAATAAGCTCACTCTGTTCAAACAGCTTATTTGATGCCTGGTTGTGCCTTTTGATGTCTCAGATGTCGAGACTTAAGCACGTCATTTTGTGCATTTTATTTAGTCAAGGGACAAGGGTACTCTTGCGCAGCAGAATAGTCATGTCAGATTGTCTCTGTTCTCTGCTTACAATGGCATTGCAGCCACCAGTTACTTGTGAAGGAAGATAGCCAGAATGCGTCAGCATCATGATGCAATTAAAACATCATTGCTGACTGCTCTTTCTGAACTAATCTTGATGCCTGGTTTACAGGGTTGAATTCCGAACTCCGATGCGGAATTGATTTGTTTACTCCGACAGATAAGAATTGGCCAATAGGGGTCGCCCACACTCCAGCTGTCATCAGCTTGAACCAATGAGCGTTGGTAGCTGCCTCAAGGTACCTGTACATGGAGGGATGAAAATATCCAGGCATCCAGGCTTACAGACGTCGACTTTCTTCCTATTAATAAACGCGACCATCATCATTTCTGGATCTTCTTCCTCCATGATCTCAACCATATCATCAACAAAATGTTGTACGAGACCAGGGACGATGAATGCGAGGAAACCCCCTTGCTAGGCCATGACCACGCATCAGAGTCCCGCCGCTCCACCCACGCACGATGGATCCTCATCGTCGTAAGCTTGGGCATCTGCGCAATAAACTTTGGCTTTTATCTGGCGATGGCCCCGCAGATCCAAATATTCGAGTCAATCATCTGCCGGAAACTGCACCCGGAAATCGCACTTCTTACCACCCAGGAGCAGATTGATGCCAGATGCAAGGCCCCCGATGTGCAGGGTGAGCTTGCGCTTGTCAATGGCTGGAAGGAGACGCTCGATACGCTGCCGGGGATTTTTCTAGCGCTTCCCTTTGGTCTGATGGCCGATCAAGCGGGAAGGAGGATGGTGCTGAGGTTGAGTTTGCTTGGCTTGATTGTGGAAGAGGTGATGGTGCGGATAATAGGTAAGTGAGCTGATCATAGTTTGTTTCCCTGCTGATAGCGTACAGCATGGTACAGCACGTTTCTTCCCCTGCGGACAGTGTGGTTCATGTCGTTATTCCAGATCTGCGGTGGTGGTACCCCGATTGCCAGGTCTATGATTTTCACGATGATCACCGATGTGTTTCCGGTGGAGAAACGGTATGTCAATCAATCGGACCCGGATATACTAGATTTAACGGTTGCAGGGCGAATATCTTCTTTATCATTTATGCGTCGGGACAGGTATCTGAGATTGCCGCAAGCCCTCTGAGTGCCTGGCTGATGTCCTGGACACCCTGGCTTCCGTATTTCCTGGGATTTCTTTTCATGCTATGTGGTCTGTGTGCCGCCATATGTGTGCCGGAAACGCTGCCCAAATTGAGCACATTGAGCGAGACGGGCAGCGAAGACGACGAGGCGGACGATGACGCTCCACGGACGGTCCGTCAACGTCTTAAAGTTGCCTGGAGTCACGCCAGGCACCAAATCATGCATCACAGCCGGTTCATCTTCGGCGAACGCAACATTGTTTTTATCTCCATCGCCCTTCTGACGGCCAATGTGGCTATCCAGTCGCTCCTGATCATGCTACAATACGTCTCAAAACGCTTCTCATGGTCCGTGGCAAAGGTACAGTCCCATTCTCCGTCGGTTTTTCGTCTCTTCTGACTTGAAACAGGCGAGCTTCCTCGTCTCCTTGAGAGGAAGCATGAATCTTGCCGCTCTACTCCTCATCCTCCCCGCTCTCTCCAAAGCGCTAGATAGATTCCTCCCCCCTATACGCCGAGACCTGCGCATCTCCCTCGGCAGCATCCTCACAATCGCGGTGGGGCACGTCCTCATGGCACTAGCTGCCAGCCCTACGGTCTTCGCTGTAGGTCTATCGATCTCCTCGCTGGGAGCGGGTTTCTTCCCCGCTCTACGCAGCGTTGCTACGGCGTTGGTGGATGAGGCCGAGATAGGCCTCTTGGGGACGACAATTGCCCTGACGGAGAGTCTTGGTGCAATTATCGCGGGGCCGATGATGGCAGGCACGTTCAAGTTCAGTATGACGTTGCACGGCATATGGCTTGGTCTTCCATATATGACGGCGACTGGACTCGTCCTGATAGCTTGTTGCGCGACCTTGGTGATTAGAGTACCTCGGTTGGTGTAGCATCGGATGGTATAAAAAGGATCAACTGCCGACAGAACCTTTGTAATTTCATTATGATATTAGAGCGTAGCGCATCTTTTTTCCTCACATTGAGCAAATCGGGGAATGTCGACCGATGTGGATGGATCGCCAGTTGAACCACAACAGCATGTGAGCCCCACGCAACCACAAGGCTCTCAGATCCCCCTAGGAACCGATGATTGTCACCTATCTACTCCAGCTACGTCCATTGTCCACGTAAATCAATGTGGGATGATCCCCGCTTAGTGTGTGGGACAGCGATGGTGGTACCATTGGGGCACGGCATTTCATTTGCCAGCATCTCTATCCAAAATGCGGGGAAGGTTCTCCCCGGATTCAGCCAAAGGCCGATAGCCGAGACAAAGATATGTTTATATGGTATCGTTTCTCGCTCGTTGACAAACCTGATCTTAGATATGGCATCCACGACGAGATGATTATGGTAGATTAGAACTGCGGACAGCCATGCAGTCTAGGGTACCGACAGTTCAGCAGTCCAAACCATCGCAAACAGAGATCCGACCATGTCAAGGCGCCTCTGTCCCAGACGTGGTCGCTATCGGTGAAGAACAAGAATCTCTGGCAAAGTGGAAGGAACGATGTGGCATCAAGCCAGAGAATCAGATCAAGCTGGTGAAGTTGGCGCATATGCGCTATCAACACCCTGATCTTGATTCGATTACTGTCTTCCTCCAAGGTTAGTGTTCGTCCTAGGAACTAACAGGAAGGCCTGACTGAAGGGAATAGATTTTGGTATGAAAGTTGTCAAAAAGACAGATGACGAAGTATGGTATCGAGGCTACGGGACAGATCCTTACGTTTACTATGCTCGCAAAGGGCCAAAGGCCTTTCTCGGAGGGACGTTTGAGGTGGAATCGTACCCAGATCTGGAAAGGTATTTACAATTTGTATGGCGAGGCTTCAGGCGGCTGATAATCTATCTAGGGCGGCCAATCTGCCCACAGGTAGCGCTATCCAAGAATTGAACGACGCACCCGGAGGAGGCTTCATGGTCACCGTTAAAGATCCAGAAGGCTTTCCGATCAATCTCATCTACGGTCAGTCACCAGCAGCACCAGGTGAGTATCCGTCCAAGCTCGTAGTCAACTACGAGTCAGACAAACCTCGCATCCGTCACTTCCAGCGCTTCGTTCCCGGCCCTGCAGCCGTCCACAAGGTATGTCTCCCCAGGCCGTCTTTATACAGTACCTGACAGATACAGCTGGGTCACTTCGGCCTGTGCGTCCAAAACTTCCAGGAAATGGTCACCTTTTACACGACAACCTTCAACCTTTTGCCGAGCGACTTCCTCTACGTTGAAAAAGAAGGGAAGAAGAAGAATGTTGCTCTCTTTGCGCACATCGATCGCGGCGCGGGCTATGTCGACCACCACAATTTCTTCATGAGCACGAATCCCACCTCGCACGTGCATCATTGCTCATTTGAAGTACATGACTTTGACACGCAGAACCTGGKACACCAGTGGCTGGCGAAGAAGGGGTATGAGCCTGTTTGGGGCGTGGGACGACACATTCTCGGCTCGCAGCTGTTTGATTACTGGTGGGATACCACCGGGTATATGATTGAGCATTATGCAGATGGGGACCTGGTGAATGAGGAGACGCCGATCGGGTATGGGCCTGCGGGTGATGAATCGTTGGCTGTTTGGGGGCCTGAGGTGCCCAAGTGGTTTTTGGACTAAGACTGTCTTGCTCATTTTTCAGGCATTGATGTACTAGTTTAGCAGCGAATAGGCTGTCTATTGCTTCCTTTCGTGCAGAATTCCTCAAATGGCGTACTACCGCAAGAACTCACTTCGCAGCATCCAACAGCTCTTCATCCGCATTCTTATCCTTCTCTTCTTACATCCACCGCAGCGCAATATACTCTTCTACCTCATCAAGGAGTCTCAGATGCATCCGTATCCTCTGTCTTTTAGGAGGAAGCGACGTATAAGCGCGCCTTTCGTCGAGTCTCGCAAGAAATGCGCGGTATGCCTGCGGGAAACAATCAAGATCATCGACGACGACACCCAGAACAACTAAGCGTATGGATAATAGGAGAGAGAGGATACAGCTTTGTCAAAGAGCTTTCTGTTGGAAGGCTTATCATGAAGATATGTACTCTCAATTCAGTCTAGACTGAAGAAGCCTTAGCAAAGAATTGTGATGTTCTAATATAATACTACATTAGTTGCTGGCAGCTAGAGTGCTATACATATTTATTGTAGAGTGTCCAGTATACTATTATGTGATTCTGGATAGGTTTCATAATTCATAGTATAATATCAGCTTGTATTATCTAGCTCTGGTGTTTCTTTTATGATGTTCGTCTCCACGTAGAGCCAAGATGTTCTTGGCTAGAGGAATGCTCTTGGACAACTTGATAAATGCTTATAGATTGATAATAATAGCATATGACAGGAGCGATCTTGTTTTGGTCTTGGTTTAGCTTCCTGTCAACCATAGAACCCCCCGACTTGAAACATGTCTCGACGATCGTTCCTAGCGCAGTGGAGATAGTAGGGTAATAATGTGTTCAGTACTTTCTTTGACTTGGACAAAGATTTAGCTAGTCGATATAAGAATCTACTTATTATTAGAGTGATACAAGGTAAAAAGATAATGATGCTGTTACGGAGTAGTAGAATTGTGATCGTGAGCGTATTGGGCAGATCATTGAAGATCTGCACTGATGACGTTTTGTTTGTTCGTGACGTCACACCCTCTATCACAAGCATTACCAATACCAGCACCACCGCCATCATCAAAATCGTCAGGTATTACCAGAAAAGAAACAAGTTTCGGGCTTTGTGTAACATTATTAATTCGTTCGGTATGGCTCAACTTATATTAGTCAGTCATTCTCTCTGGAGATCTGAGCTGACATAGTGTCAACCCTCCACCCCTTGTCTCCCTATCTACTTACTTACCTTTGTCTAATACCTCGCCTCGATTTCTGAGCAGAATCCTTCTTTGAGATAATATACTGCCCTGAAAATCCACTTTATTCAATGGCTGTCATATGGGGTCTCGACCTCCGCGAGATACAATGGAACAAATTCAAAGGAGCAAAAATGTTCAACCGCGCGTACCACCTGCGTCGCACAAAGATGATTGTCTACCAGATGGCCATGATATTCTGCGTCATTTCTGAGTCGGTCGGAACGGCCGCTTTATCAGGTACTTTACTCTATTGTCTACCGGGATTACCAATCTAATGCCGCTTGTGTCTAGATTATCTCGACCAACAAGACGACATCCAGAAACAGCACCCGGAAACCAAAGTCCACAACAACGATTTCATCGGCGCTGCCTCGTATAACATCTTCGTCGGAGTCTCTGTTGCAACAATCTTCGGCGCCGCGTTTTTCTTCGATCTGTTCTGGCCGGAAAGACAAGAGAGTAAATCCGTTCGGTTGGCATGGAAGATATCTGCGGTGGTGGTGTCGGTGATGATGCTTGGTTCAGCTCTGACTATGACTGTATGGCCTTGATGTTCTGATTATTGCAGTGCAGCCTGCTCATGAGACTAGATCATCACCGCCACACATAGCGCCCGTATCACCGGGACCGACGCCGCATCCGCCAAGAAATACTGGGCGGAAGCAGCCAAAAAGCCTGCTCTGCGTATGTATCCGCCTGCTGCTGATTTCATGACGCTGGCTAACATCATGGAGAATACCGGACAAACCCCAAAGCTATTACATCAGTTGTCTTTGCGTGGCCTGGTTGGGTTGCGACTGTTGCGAGGTATGTCATGTCCTTCGGGTTAGGCTGCAGAGGAGATTGCTGACGCAGGATAGTACTGCGATTCTGCTCATGTCCCATAAACATGACGACGAGGTGGGCCCGAAATCGAACTATGGACGCGAGACGGAGAGTGTTCCAGCGATCCAGGAAACAGAGGGCAAAACTACGGCTGTATAGTATCATTGTATTTTGGATGATGTTACGACTTGTATGATACCACTATAGATTGCCATTGATAAATTGCTATTTAGTACCGTACGAAAAGGGACCTAAAGCTTCMAGATGTTAAGACTCGGCAAGGAGTCATGGACTGGTGATCACCCGCTGCACTACTAAGAGGCATAATTTAGAGTTAAACCTAACATACTCTAGTACTTGTAACAACGAAAAGGCTAGATGGGGCTTAACTATACTACAGGTAGGAATATTCCGGGACAGCCCCAATATTGTGATATAGGCAGTCCTGAAGCTAAGCATAAGGTGCTAGAGAAGCTAGGATAGGGACCATAAGATTTATGATTTGATGTAATCCACGATGCGTGAGGAGAAGTTCGGAACAAAAAACATTCATAGAAATCTAGTCCGTTCTAGCCCCAAGTCCATATATCTCAAGCCCACTCTTTCCTTACTGTATACAAAGTTCCTTTTCTCCACGGACTAAGGTATTCTTGGCCACTCCGGCGCTTTCCCCTTATAGCATACAAGGCTATTCCCAAGCTCATACAAGACATCCATCCACTACAGCGGGTCCAATATCCCCGTTAACCATATTGATATCGAGACATGGAGACGGCAATCTTATACCACGCGTTTCCCTGTATAACAAGATGTGGCTGCTGCAAAGATGTCAGGCGCCAATCCAGCTACCCCGCCTCTAGCGCGATATGTCAGCTCACCACATTCCATCCAGCAAGCTCCTTGCTTCATAGACTGATTCCAGAGTGTTTGAATTCAAGGTTTGAGGAGCAAAAATGCCCAATCGCGCTAGGCGGATCCTGGCTTCCCTTCTCGCGCCTACAGGAAAGGTGGACCAGCATTCATCGGGGAATGTGATCAGGAATAAGGCCACAATTCTGGAACCGGAAGGTGAATCTAAGACACTGCTGGTCTCCGAAGCTGCTGCAGAGACGTCCAGCCCCGGAGATCCGGATCCTGATCCAGATGCAAAGGAAGTCAAGGCCGCAAAAGGACAAGATACGATCGGCAGTGCCACTCTCACGGGGCTCTGGGACGAAGCATATAAATTAGTAGAGGAGGAGAATGCTGACCTTTTGGCTGCTTATGAGAGATATCTCCTCCTTGATCCGCATTCTCAATCTACGACTGCAGATGAACCAACGGCAGAGCTGTCCATAAGTTCACGCGAGAGACAAGAGGAAATCCGGAAGCTAGCACAACGCAAGCTAAACGCGGTTCAACAAGGGCATCTAAAGGTCATCATTAAGGGCAAGGAGATCGTCATCAGAGACCAGATACACCGAATCGTTCGCACAATTGTCKCTGCAAAAGATTTTATAGGTTCCGTTCTCAATGCGGAGCCCCACGCCGCGATTGCATGGGCTGGCATTGTCCTCATACTTCCCGTAAATTTCCTACAATACGGCCGAATCCATGATGGCGAGAGGCTAACGTCAGGTTCTAGTTGCTGACAAACCCCGTCACTCAAACGGACAGTGCCACGGAGCTGATTGCTTATGTGTCGGACCTCATGGTTCGATGTCGGGTGATCGAAGAGACGCTCAATCTTCCGTCATTGGACAGTGTCAAAAGGTATGGAGGGTTCCTATTGCGCAGACAACGTGCTCTCTGCCTAACAGCTAGGTAGTTCAATGCATAACTAATCTCGGTTTTCAAAGGAACGGCGATATTCGCACTCGTTTAAGAACCAAGTCTGTGCGCCTCTATGTGCAAATTATCAAAAGCCAGATGCTGGTTACTTGCCACTATTCCCGGGCTGCCTTTTTGCGATTCTGGCGGGATGTCGCAAATGTGGATGACTGGAAGCAGATGCTTGATGATATGCTCAAGGCCAAGCAGAACATCGACGAGGACTTACAGGCCCTTGGGCAGAGTCTCTTAGGACACGTTGATGCGGAGGTATCCAAGCTACAGGAAAAAGCCGATAACATGATCCGCATGCTGGGGGTAAGTTGACCGCTTCGCGACTTTGCCATGGCTGACATTGGCCTTGCAGGATATCTCTCAGGGATTGAATATCGCAAAACTTCCCTGCGCAAAGTACGCGGGTTTCAATGCCTTGGATCCAACTGCCCGGCTTTCGCCCACCATGTGTCACGAAAAGACTCGGGTGGAGATTCTTGATGAGATTGTGCAGTGGGGCAGGGGCGATGAGGGGAGGTGTATCTTCTGGCTCAGTGGCATGGCAGGTACCGGGAAGTCCACTGTCATTAGAACGGCCGCAGAGAGATTCCATCGGCAGGGGTTAATGGGTGCAAGCTTTTTCTTCTCGCGCACAGGGGAACTACGAAATCAAACTACAGCGCTTTTCACCACCCTCGCTTCACAGCTGGCGGACTCACTGCCCGAGCTTCGATCTTACATGAGCAAGGCGATAGACCAGGATAAGTCTATCGGGGAGCAATCGCCCCGAAACCAATGGGAGCGACTCATCCTGGAACCTCTATTGGAGCTGGACAAAACCTTGCTCTTGCCATTACATGCCGTTTTTGCTATCGATGCATTGGATGAGTGTCGGGACCATCGCCAGCAGGCCATTCCCGAGCTCTTTGCTCAGGCTAAAAGACTCAAGATGATTCGGCTACGAGTTCTCATTACCAGTCGGCCGGAAAAGACCATAGCTGAAAGTTTTCGCAAAATGCCAAGGGATCTCTACCACGTTTCGCAGCTCGACTCCGACGAACAGACTTCACAGACCACACGGGACATTTCCATCTTCCTCAAAAGCCAGCTTGCCGTTGTTGCTGATGCGAATGGCTTGGAAAGCGGGTGGCCAGGGGAGAAGCAGATCCAAATCTTGGTGCAAAGGGCCGGTCGCCTGTTTATTTATGCCGCGACGGCGTGCCGGTTTCTGGATAGCAACTTCCCGGAGGAGAGGCTCGCTACTTTACTCGATGCTCAAGCTACCGACGATTCGCCTACTGCGGACCTAGACGAAGTGTATCATCTAGCCCTACGTCAAGCAATCAGTGAGAGTCCTGACAGCAAATACCTCGTTCCACTATTCCGCCGTATAGTCGGGTCGATTATCCTCTTGGAGGAGAGGCTGTGTCCAAAAGATTTGTCCGTCCTACTTAACATTCCACTACGCCAGGTGCGTATCATTTTGGACCTGCTGCGGTCAGTACTCGCTGTCCCTGATGAAGACACATCCCCTGTTGCCTTGTTTCACCTCTCTTTTCATGACTTTCTGCTAGACCGTACCAGATGTCCTGACCCCCAGATTTGTATCGAGGAGCAAAGCGCACACAGCTATCTTTTAGACCGCTGTCTTGAGCTCATGTCCCAACATTTAACCAAAGATATGTGCCACCTGCGCCGGCCTGGGACACTGATATCGGAGATGGACAGCCAGATAGTAGAGAAATATATCCCCTACGCGCTCCAGTATACCTGCCGCTTCTGGGTCACCCATCTTGCCAATGCAGACGTTGACCTCAAGAAGGATGAACGCGTGTATGCCTTTCTGGCGACGCATCTTCTGCATTGGTTAGAGACTCTCAGCCTGATACGGAAGATCTTTGAGGGAATCGCTACTATTAACTTACTAGAAGACCTTGTTAAGGTATGGCTATCCAGAAAACGGGAAATTAATAAATAGGGCAGAAAGAATATAACTTACAAAAGCAGGCCGTCGCCAACCCCTCCCTGCGCGCCTTTATTTACGACACTAAGCGATTTGTGCTATGCATGCGATCCAGCATAGAGGCGGCGCCGCTCCAAATCTACTGCGGCCTCGTCTTTACGCCACGACGAAGCGTCCTGAGAGAGATCTTCCAGCGGGATATTCCTGCGTGGTTTGAGAGGCTGCCTCGAGTGGAAGGCAACTGGAGTCCACTTGAGCAAACGCTGCAACACCCGCTTTGGGTGGGACGAGTGGCCGTCTCCCCCAGCGGCAGTCTCCTAGCTGTGGCGTGTGCCGGTCGAGGCAGTTTCCTATGGAACACGGCCACGGGCCAACTAATCATGGACAATGGCCATGGTGACGATGTCGTAAATCTCGCGTTTGTGGACGACGGGAGTAAACTCGCTGAGGCATGCTCTAACGGCGCCGTGAGGCTGTGGGATACCAGTACCGGACAGATGTTGCGGGCCTTTGGCCATTCTTCGAGGATTGAAAGTGCGGCTTTTTCTTTCGGCAGCCCGGCACTAGCCTGCACAGCTGATGGGCCGAATATACGTGTGGAGAATCTGGACACAGGGGAAACGGAGGACATACTCGAGCTTGGCGCAGATGTGCGCTGCGTGGCCATTTCTCGAAGCGGCTTCCAAATAGCAGCCAGTACCAACGAGAGCATCGTGTGTTTCCGCGATACGGGAGCAGCAGCGACCCAAAGAGCGGTGCAGTACCAACAGTCAAGCTCATGTCGTGCCTTTTCTGCGCTTGCCCTAGAATTTTCGTCAGATGGCTCGAAACTCGCCGTAGGGCACTATGACGGGTGCGTGGTGCTATGGGATCTGACAGGCAATGGCATGATAAACAAGGAGCTGAGTCCGCGTCATGCCAGGCGTATCACTCAGCTTGCATTTGCTCCCGATGATACTAAGCTTCTATCCTCGTCCGAAGACGCGACAGTCCGGGTGTGGGATGTCGCATCGGGGGAAACGGAGCAAATATTGCAAGGTCATTCGGATGCTGTTGACGGTGTGGCTTTCTTTCCAGATGGTCGCAGAGTAGCCTCAGGTTCGATGGATTGGACAGCAAGGGTATGGAATATAGCTCTGGAACAGGAAAAAAGGACGTCCACTCAGACTGCTGTGCGCCATGTCTTGGGTATGGCCATCTGCTTGGAAACAAGCATGGTAGCCGCGGGGTTTAATAACGGGAGTCTGGAAGTGTGGGATGTGGAAGCAGGCAAGATGCAACAACAGCTTCTCGAGCCCCAGGGTTATCCCTTGAAAGCCATGGCATTCTCGCCCGATGGTACTATGTTAGCCGCGGGAAATGATTATGGGGAGATCACTCTGTGGTCTACTGCTGACGGCAAGCAGCGAAAGGGTTTCAGAGCGGATCGAGAAGCGGTTGAAATTCTCGCCTTCTCACATGATGGCAGGATGGTAGCCTCGGCTAGCATAGAAGCGACACAAGGTTCCTTTAACAACAGTTTGATAAAGATTTGGGATATTAACCAAGGCAAGCTGAAAGAGACGCTACTGCATCCCGACGAAGTGCGGAGCATGGCGTTCTCTCCAGATGACCAGAAGCTGGCATGTGCGACCGATGACCAAAAGCTAAGAATCTGGGATCTCTCTACCTGGAAGAATGAGGTAGCATTTGATGCCGAGTGCCCGCCCGGGAACCCGCGAGCCGTCCCCGACAGCCTGCGATTCTCCCCCGACAGTACTGTGCTGGCCGCTGGATATAGGGCCGAGATCATGTTCTTCCAGGTTGCTACCGGCAGACTAATTCACCGGCTCAGCGGTCACTACAGCTCTGTCGGCAGCGTTATCTTCTCGAATGAGCGCATTGAGCTAGCAGTGGCCTACTGCATTGAATGGAATGGCTGGATCAGGAGGAATGGAGAAAGGATTCTCTATCTACCTATTGATTACAGGCCCGATGAGGTCTGCATTCAAGGGGACATAGTTATACTGGGCACTTACAACCATGGCATTGTGACACTTGGATTCTCTCCTGATAACGACACAGTGATTAGAGTGTGACAACGTATGCATGCAAATGAACATTGGGAATTGAGTAGAGCGGATTCTGCTCTGAGCCCAGACAAGGATGAAGGCTATCCGGGGGCGACCAAGGTTGAGAGATTTGATCATTCAGAGAATTAGCTATCTGAATGAAATGGTTGTTCCAGAGACAGTGCCCGACACTAGTAAGCAAACGCGCCTGCGTGGATGTACGCAAAAAGGAAATATTTCGGTGTAGTTTCGTTCTCCATGTACTGTACTCCCAATCGAAGCGGGCGAATTTTGCAACGACAACATTGTTGAATAATGGTCAGCTAATCTCGTAGACGCCTGTTCGTAATTTTCTACTGACAACCATCTCCAGGTAGTCGACGAACGCGTCATGCCATGTATTGCTGACGCCTGCAAACGCCGTCCGAGTAATAGCGGTTGGCCATTTTCCTCTCTCGAGCTACCAGTCCATCGTTCCAATCTCCCCAGTGAGGTAAGGACCATTAGATCCGTCCCTCCACATGTGTGTTACGCCCTATAGTGAAACCCGGCAAGGATGAGATGCGCAGGTGAACAAAGGATCAGAATAGAAATGTCGAAGGGGCGATAGCATTGATTGCTATTTCTGAGGCGAAACGGTTGGCGTGGAGGGTTTCCGTTATTCGTGTCAGTCATTGTCTTCATTGAACATTATCAAGGTCTGTTGTGATGTCCGTTTATTACCTCTCCACATTTTGAGATATGATCCTTAAAACTGTCGCTTGTAAACATCCGGCGCCAATGAAGAGGCTTATCATAATGGTGGGATTTGCAAGCGATACAGTGAGACCCCCATTCAATAGTTTCTAGGCKCGTATCTATGAGCGGTGCACGAACAATGCCCATGAAACGTTTGGGATTCGACGAAAATCCATCAAAGTCATCCTCTAACTTGGGCCGGCGCGTACGTTGACTTTGCCGCGCTTCATGTTCTGAGGCTCGATGCTGATACTTCTCTAGTTTTTTTAATGCCAATTCTGCTGTATGATGTTCCATTGCACTGACAGACCCATGCAAGCGAATCCCAGCTTGTCGCGCAGAGTCATGATMAATGAGTGTGAGTCGCGTACTGCATTTGGTCTCCCGTGGTGAGTAGCTGCCTGGAATACTTTTCATTCGAGGCAAATTCGCAAGGTGCTCTTGACGGAGTCCGAATTTCCGCATGGCATCCGTTCGAAGCAGTGGAAGATAAGCAGTCTTCTCCGTGAAGCAGAGAAAACAAACACGACGGCACGTTATCAGGTATAAATAGCCGCCAAAATCACCGCAGCCGTCGCACTCAGCCATACATAGTTTTGCGTAGAGATTCTGACATGAGATCCAATCTCCTGTTTCGATGCTCAGGATTCCTTGGATGGTAGTAGGTGCGTGCTGGATGATCTTTTGGTATTGTGGAATTGAATCTATGACCCGTCTGGCTTGTATATTGACGCGTCGAAAGTCGGTAAGTGACCGGATTCCAAGTTGTACGAGTACTATGTTAAGAAGTTCCAAAGGGAGTTTGTCCAGCGCTCCCAACGTACCCCTCGGGGCATCATGTAGCTGTCCATTGTCGAGCGGACAGAGGCTTTCAACACCATCCAGTGTATGGTCCCTCAAGTCAATGTAGGAGTATGTCAATTCACTCGTTTTGCGAATAATGGCCATAACTCTCCAATTCGGATTCTCGCTTTCAGTTCTTGCGGCAGAGTAGGGGTAGAGTGAGGTGGGGAAACAGCAGATGTAAGACGCGAAGTATCTTGATTGGTATGAGAATGCCGCGGCCCAGAAAGGAGCGTTGTCAGGATGGTAACTGGCTCAGATTTTTAGTATATCATCCCCATTGCAAATACTTTGAATTCCTCACCATGAATATACGGAACAGGTTTATGTGGTGTTATAGGTATATCAGCTGAATATCTATAGGTTTGCAGGGTTTGAGCTAAAGCTCTGTGACTGGGTAGAGCACACGGTACAGGATTATATATGAGTTGGGAATGGCCATGAGGTCTTGATGAGCATGAAGTATGTGCAGTCTATAAATAAGGCAAACTAACCTGTATAACTCATCTCGACGATGTCGTTCTCTATGCTCTAACCGTGCCAATTGGCCAAACTGTCCGTGCTATTACCTACCCAGATCTTCTGGCTTACCTGGTCCTTGTATATGTGCATAATTTTCTCCATCAAATACACCGTCCTAGTATTACCCATATTTCCCTTGCTTGGATACTAACATTCTTCTTCTAAACGTAGGGAAGAATCCCCTAGTAGATGACACTGTCGAATCAACCTCAGATTCGCCCTTGATCACAGACTATGCTCACTCCTCGATGACACCCGTAATAATCGCCCGTACGCTCAAGTTCCCCTTCTCAGGATACGGGGTGCCAAAATCCCGAGCAAATTCAATATTCTTCTCGGGCGTTTCATACAACTCCATATCAAACCGGCGCACCAACGTCGCGATAACCAGGAAGAGCTCCGCATACGCCAGACTACATAGGTCAGTGGTGAACAGCTGGTCGAGAGAATTACACATACTTCAAGCCAACACACATCCGACTTCCCTTGGAGAAATTCACCAGGTACCGGTCGAGCCGTTGTCCCTTTGCAGCGGACGCATCCATCTTTCCGGGTCGAATTCGTGCGGGTCGGGGAAGATTGCGGGGTCCATGAGGATGAAGTAGTGTGTTTCGCTGACGGGGGTCTATACGTCTCGGTTAATCTTGCTCCTAGAGTTTGTGGCTTATTGTACTGACCCCAGGTGGTATAGTGTAGCCCTTGTATACCAACGCCTCTGTAGGCGCGACTCTTGCAGACCGGCTCGCGATACCAGTAGAGAGACGCAGGGATTCAGCAATCACGCCGGACTGCCAGGGTTAGTAATGTAGCGCCCCCTCGTTCTATATTCTCACCAAATAAGGTAACTGTTCAAGTTGGTTCCAGGTCGGTCTCGAATCTGCGGTAGGCATCGCCTGCTTCAATTCCTCCCTGAGCTTGTTCCGAATATCTTCCCTGCTATACGCATGCCACACGCCGAGCGCAAGCGAACGAGCCGTTGTCTCTGTGCCACCAATCACCAGGGAAAATCCTTCGTTCATCAGCCGTTCCGGCTTGCGCATGTGTGCCGGCATCGTCGGCGCCGCAAGAGCATCAATCACAGTCCCGCTATCACTGTCCTTGGAACGCGAAGGCATATTTCCCAGCGCGGCCGCGGCCCGATTGTACAAATCCTTCTTCTGACTGGCGAGAGCAAACGCGGGGGGGTTGTACTTGCGCAAAACCTCCAGCGGCGTCAAGTTCATGATGGTTTGCAGGATGGGGAAAAAGTACAGGAGGTGCGCTTGCTGGAAGAGCCCGTTGATTCCGTCTCTGACCTTGGCGTTGAACCCCTCCTTGTCGACGTTAGCCGGGTTGAACCCGTACACGTACTTGTGGATAACATCGGAGGTCAAGGCTGCGAATCCCGCGTCCAGACTGACCACCTGATGCGAGGCATGGGCTTCCTTGAAGTGGTAGACGAGTCTGTCGAGGCTTTCATGGATTAGCGCCTCCATTTTTTCGATGGCCCGCTTCGAAAAGTATTTCTCGACGGGTGCGCGCCGCTGCCGGTGAGACTCTGGGTCGATGCTGGAGAAGCTGGAGCCTCCGAGATCGAACTGTTTGACTAGCACGGGGTCCTTCTCGCGCTTGCGAAGGCTGGAGGCGTAGATCTCATCGTAGTAGTCGGGGTCCTTGATGTGGACCTCCCGCGGGTTTATGCGAATGATCGGTCCTGAGACGGTTAGCTGTCTGAGCTCGTGTCTAATCAAGACATACCCACCGTATACTTGGTGCAATCGTTCGAGTTCCCAGATGAAGAGACCACCCCTGATGATGTTGTGGTAGAATTCGTAGCCATGGGTGATCGCAGCCAGTTTTGGTCCGGGAATATGGCTCAGCGGGTGGAAATAGAGTCGGTAAATGCTCTGGATGGCCCAGTAGATGACCAGCCCTACCACGATTACCGCAAGGACAGCCATTGTGATCCTGCCTTTGCCCTAGGATACCATTAACGAGTGTTTTTTCGACACCAGGCTCCCAGATTTCCACCGGTAGGAATTGTTGGCAAAAGAGGGGCTATTTCCGTGTCTTAAGGAATTCTCATGTGAAACGGGATGGTGGTAATCAGCTCTGTGACACGTTGACAGGTCTAGTCTGCTTCGCTAGGAACTAGCTTCCTGCAGCTAAAGTAGCGAAACTGACTTGACTCTTGAAAATCGAGACACTCAGATGCTGCAACCTGTAACCTTCAACCAATTAGACCAATCTGAGACAATTGCATCGGCTGCCCCACAATGCTTATAGGAAAAACTGGCGGGCCTCCACATGCACCATGCTTGACGAAAAATACTGAATCATTGATATGCTTATGCTGCAGAGTAATGACTGGCTAGTAGAGCCTAAGTGGTGAGAAATGCCTAAAGTAGGCTTTGTCTTTCTTAGTCTGGCTTGTCTGCCCCCTAAGGTCCTGTAAATATATTGAGAAGAACAGAAACCATCTTGAATAGAGCAGCCATTCCTAGCTTGCTCAGAGGTTGTCCTTGGATCCCTGGAGTGCTCATCGTTCCTCACTGAATATAAACATTATTCTAGCAGTTTAGAACTGAACAGCTTACACGAGTCAGCTTCCCCTTAGAGACGGCAAGTTGACATGACTGTGGAGACATCCCTGATTCTCTTTCTAGAGATGATCTACATAATCTACACAGCCACTGATAGTATGGAACCCTGTGCTATTCGGATCGGCTTATAAATGGTCGGTAGTCGGCCCTAACTGTTAGTATAAACTCAATGTGTAGTGATCTGTCTTGACTCTTGACTCTGGATTGATGTTTCCCTTGCCTTTTCTCACACTCAAAGTTATTTGTACCTATATAAGGGAGTACAGAAACATGAATCAGGTTCATTACTCCGACCTGTATCTTCAAGGCGTAGATACTTGCAATACCGCTGCCCTCTTAGCTGTTTTATCAGAGTAGAATATCTGTCATCCAGCCTTGTCTAAGGATAGTCAGAGACTAGCCGCATAGCGGACCAACATAAAACAAACCATTGGCTCACTAGATTCGTCTAATCAGCCTGAGAGGCTCATCCCATGCACACATTTCTTGGCCATCGACCCAAGAGCCTTTTAAGCTCCACCGGAGCCCATGCGGCTGACATTTACTTTCCTCGAACCAAATGTCCTGATTACACAAAGCCGTGCTGCCCGTGATGGAGAACAAGCAGACCAAGGAACCCAGTTCTCCCGAACAGCCTGGTCTTGAAGTGGTGATGCCCGATGGCCTGATTCCGAAATATGAGAGAGATGCACCCCTCTATTACGCTGGAGATGGATCCGAGGCACCGATACCAGTCGAAACAGAGGTTGGTCAAGGCCAAGAAGTCAAAAATGTGAAAGATGCTCCGCGAACAATATGCGGGTTCCGGCGGCGGTATTTCTGGGTTGCAGTGGTGGTTGCTGTGGTTGTCATTGCTGTAGCGGTGGGGGTAGGCGCGTCTTTTGCGACAAAGGACTTTGGGTAGGTAGAGAATGAATATGAATGATTGAACAATGCTGATCTGGGTATTCAATGGAACAGTACCTCGAACCCTACCTCGACCGCAACAGCCGCCTCTACTTCGACTTCGACTTCGACTTCGTCTTCGGCGACCTCCAGCGTCACAAGCTGCCCGGCGATGAATGGGACGACAATCACCGTCCAGCAAAAGGACTATATCCAGTTATGCCACACGGATCTTTGCTCTGACACGGATGGTTGTGCGAGCGTCACCATATCCGACAACAATCTCGTAAACTTCAAGACCAATTCCCTTGAACAGTGCATCCAGCGCTGTGTGAGTTATAATATCATGATCAAGGGAGCCGAATGCAAGGGAGTGAGCTGGGATGAAACAGCACCTTCATCCACCAACCGCACTCATCGCTGCTTTTTGAAGAATGATACCAGTATCAGAAAGACAGCACCAAGTGGCTGGGTCATTCTCAGTGCAGTCGCCAAGGACTGAGTTGTTTCTTCTGTGTATACTCTTTTGCGATTATTATGGACATATCAGAGTATGTTTGTCAAGAATGCCTGTACCACGCGGTTGGCCTGCTGTGATTATTCACCGCCAGAAAATGACCTTCAATTTTTCAATGACTAAAGATGACATACATGGATGGAGAAAAAAAGAAAGGGGAAAAAGATATCAATGCATCATCCGTGAATCGAACACGGGCCTCGTCGATGGCAACGACGAATTCTACCACTAGACCAATGATGCTGTTGCTTGGCGAATATTTTCTTATTGAACCACATAACTCAGGTCTGTACTCCGTATCAGGAAGTAAAACAACGGCATCGGTTTATTCGTTGTCGACTGAGGTAATTAATGATTTATTACAAGGATTGGTTTTAACTTATTTGTAAGGTAGAGTTGTCATCGATCCATCTATATGTGTACTCCCCGTTTGCATAAACCATAGACCATAGGAATGGTCAACACCTGAACTGACTCAACTATATTACAACAACTTGTCCACAAATAAGGCAACGTACAACAGGGCTTGGCTTTTCGGGCTCCATGGCAAATGACAAGTTCATAAACTAGCTGTGAATGTCCCCTCAATCCGCTCGATCTGTGCAACCCCCCGCTTGTAGCTCTCAATGGCCTGTAGCCGATCAGCATATGCTGCTACACCTGGATACTGACTCCGAAGGGATGCAGGCCTTGACAACGCCGCGATGACCGAGTAGCTCAGCTGAATATCAGCAGCTGTGATCTTATTTCCACAAAGATAGGGCCCGCCCCCTGGCGCCGTCTTGAGCTGGTCTTCCAGGAAGCCAAGATGCGTGTGCATGTTGGGATTGATAAAGGCCCCTTCCACCTTGGACGCTATCATCCTAGTCACTGGCTTGATGAAGAATGGAACCGGCGCATTCCTCACACCTGAGAAACTATCAGTACGTCATCTACGATGGGAGCTCTGTGAACCTACCGTCCATAACCACCTTCATCACCAGAAACGGCGCCAGACTTCCCTCAGTATAGTGCATGACATACTGGTATCGCATCCACGCTTCTGTCTCCCCGCCGACCTGGCCTTCTTTACCCTCGGCATATCGCTGCGGAATGAGCTTCTCCCCGCCGAAGTGGGTGCAGAGATACTCGATAATCACTGCGGACTCGGCTAGAACGAGTGGCTCCGGGCTGTTGGGTGTGGTGATGGTGACAACGGGGGATTTACCGAGTGGGTGTATCTTTTTCAATTCGTCGGGTGCTGTCATGTCGGCTTTCCGTTTAAAGGTCTTGATCTCGTAGGGGACGTTGAGTTCTTCCAGGAGCCAGACGATCCGTTGGGCACGGGACTTTTCCAGCCTGGTTCCGGTTAGTTTCTTTTCTTCTTCTGGATTGCACACAGTAGAGTCAATTGATTACCAATATAGCGTGATTTTGGTATCTTGAGTCTCTGTCATGGTGACAAGCGGATAGTGAGCTGTCGATCTATCGAGGAATGCGAGATATAGTTATCACTTGTGATTACAATGGAATAAGGGCATGTATAATCAATATACGTAGATCCGCCAGCCTCCACCTTGAAGGCTTGTTTGCAGCTTATATATGTTAGTGGTATAGCTGTAATAACCACTGCGGAGGAATCCCGATCTCGGTTCAAACTTTCCTCCGTATCTTATATCCAAAATGTGGGCATTCCCGCCCTTGGCAGACGAAGGCTCGTATTCGTTCTACTCTGGAATCTCTATTGGACCGCGAGGTTTTCTGTCAGTACTGATGACCTCTCGGAGAAGTGTCAGCCCGCTTGCGACGAGTGGTACGGCCCGCCACAGGCAACTCAAAACAGCCCGGCTGTTGCTGTTGGCTGTCAACTAAGTTCAGTACTTCGAGGGAGTGAAAAAGTTTTACTGTTCTTCAATCAGTTTCAGAGTCCCTGAAAATAGAATTATGTTTATTTGTTTATAGGTTATGTTCATATGCACTATCTGGGCAAGTCCCTCTAGCGCGCTCAGCCGTCTCTATCATACTTCCATAGAGGTGCTACCTACAAGTCATAATACCGGGTCGACTCTCAATCACTCTATCCTTTGCGGACCAATCAAGGAATTAACAGATCTTTTTCCAGAAGCATACCGGATGCCTAGCAGACTCAAGGACTTGTCAAGCCAGCAAAAGTGCCAAAGGCGCCGTCATATCCCCACGAGGTAATAAATGGGGCTGACCATAGCTCGTTCCAGAGGCAATAATACCCCAGACAGTGCAGATGATGAACAGTAATAGGACAGCTCGGGTATAGTAGCTATCCAGCTGGTACATGATAGCAATAATGTTCAAGCCTAGATTCATCCCTAGAACCGGGCGACCCGTGTAAATAGTCCAACGAGTCGACTGTATATTACTGTGAATGAGAGATCAATAATTAGTATTATGCTCAGATAATCGACTTCTACTCTTGAGCTTCGCTTTGGATTCATACATAACTGTCGGATACATTGTGTATCACCCAGGACTCCTGGCATCCTCACTCTATCAATACAGATGAAACAGCGGACCGATGGCAGGATATTCTCTACTAGTTAGATTAGTAGGTACATCCCACGCCGAGTTTTAATATAAGGTTGACTAAGCTTACCTCTGGACTGTCTTCGATAGGTATTGAGTTGGTGCTTTCGACCGAGTATAAGGAACATAGAACGGAGCACAGACTCCCGCAGCTAGAGAGATTCTCACACCCGCTTTGAGGAGCATGGTCACAGTTCAGGATAGTTCATGGGGCTGGCTTTTGCGCTGGGTCATGTTCATGTTCTTGTGTGAGTGATGGCAACTGTGGACTAGTAGATCTACTTAAGAAGGGGTGTACTCAGACTGTGCAGCATTCCAGCCCTTTCATCTTGTTTCTTAAAGGAATGATTACAATTAGACCCACAATGATTGGCGCGGAGCTGCTGCATCAGGCCACCAAATGAAAGGTCATCTGAACAGGCTGAGTGGTGTAATGCAGCAGAATCCAACGACGAAGCCGATTCGCTCTAATGAAGGATCGGGTCCACGCGGGGCCGCCCCACATGGTCTACCCCGCGTTTGCCATTGTTAACGGTTCCAGGGATTGAATGAAGAATTGCCTTGTATATGCTGGCTGGAATGTGTCGATTGATAATCGCAGTCATACCCTTTGAATCGGCCGAAGTGTCGATGAGGCATGCCACATTGTGAAGCAACATCGCCAACATAGATCGGCCATCCGCTCTGAAGCACTTGTGTCTGTCTAAGGAACAACGTAGAACCGCGATAGCGAGATGGGACATTGCCCCCTTTGAGTGGTCCAATGTAGAAGATCTGTCAATATCAAATCACTCAGCCAAAACGGTGTCTAGACAACCATCTCTAGTTAGTAGGAATGATAGGAGCAGCAGGGTCCACGCAGCAGGGACACAAGAAGATCTGTGGACTGGATGCTCCATTTCGATAATTCCTTGGGTACGAGTTGCATGCAGAGTCCGTCCTTGTTTATCTTGTACCTTTTCTACCGCACAATGATATATGCATATGCAATCATATTTCTCTGGTAATGCCATCTCAACGGGCTATTCGTCGGATGCATTTACCCCGGATCATGTTTCAGGCCTTGTAGATCCCCGGTCTTCGGCCCGTCACATTTCCCCGTTGGAAGCTGATTGTGGGGTTTTATTTCTCCAGATGAACCTGCAGCGGCTGGCCGTCCGACACTATGTCCGGCTGCAGATAATATAGGCTAGATGCTCCGCAATTAAGCCTGGCTCCATACTTCTGCCGACCCCGCTCTAGACTGTATATATAGTAGGGGGTTCATGACTTGCAGGATGGATTGCCCTACCTTGCATCATTGTTCAAGGATCTCTGGTGGAGTACAGGCTCATCAGGATGTTGCTCATAAGCCGTCTGATTGCTGCACTGGCTGTCGCCCAAGTTGCCATTGCTTCTCTGCAGATTGTTAGCTCCCAAAGTCCTGAAGTGGGATATCTTGTGCTAACTTGGCCAGGTTCCCGGAGGTACCTGGACTGCCAGTGGTACTAACCAGCACGTCCAAGCACATGGTGGAGGTAAGCATACTTACTATTCCGGATGGATATAATGTTAAGATCCGTGGCCACAGGAATCATCGAAATCGACTCGACTTACTACTGGATCGGCGAAAACAAGCTCAACGGGAGCGCGTTCCAGTCTATCAACTGCTACTCCAGCAAGGTATGTTGATGACCTAGTAGTCCACCAGCCTCAGGGTTAACGCCTGCAGAATCTGGTGGAATGGACATATGTAGGAGAACTCCTCTCTCTGCAGAGTAGCGGTGATCTAGGACCAAACCGGGTTGTCGAGCGGCCCAAGGTCATTTACAACGCGGCCACCGGCAAATACGTAATGTGGATGCATATCGACAACAGTTCTTATGGTGAGGCGAAGACAGGAGTTGCGACTTCGTCGAGTGTTTGCGGGAAGTACAGTTACCTGTAGGTCTACTCTGCGATGTGCAATCAGCAGCCCTAATACTAACTCACCGGTTTAGCGGGTCATTCCGGCCTTTGGGGCAGCAGTCGCGTGATATGGGATTATTCAAGGATGATGATGGGTCGGCGTATCTACTCTCTGAGGACGTAAGTTAAGAGCAGGCTTGTTGATGGAGGACTGCTGACATCTGTAGCGGCCGAACGGATTGAGGATCAACAGATTGACCAGCGACTATACCAATGTGACATCTACGACGCACCTCTTCCCAGAGCATATCGAGGCCCCTGCCATGTATAAAAAGAACGGGGTGTACTTTCTCTTTGGTTCACAGTTAACTGGTATGTAATCCCCCAATTTCACGCTTGCTCTAGCTAACCGTTGGCAGGATGGGGTATGTGCCTTTTGGCTTCTGTCGTTCCACAGCTCTACTGACTCTGTCCACAGCGACCAACGACAACAAGTACACCACTTCCACGAGCCTCAGCGGCACCTGGAGCTCTTGGGCGAACTTTGCGCCCTCTGGAACAAATACCTTCAACTCCCAGACCACCTTTATCCTCGGAGTCGGCGACTCAGTAATGTAATACCCCCTTGCAGGCAATGCCGTGCGATTCTAACTCCTATAGGTACATGGGTGACCGCTGGGTCTCATCGAACCTCATGGCCTCAACATACATCTGGCTGCCTCTAACCCTCAGCGGAACCACAGCCTCACTGGTAAGGTCCCCCAGTTGATGACAGCCCTCACTAACACAAACCAGCAAAACGAAGTAAACTGGATCCTCCCCCTCCAAGGCAGCTGGACCCCCGGCCCCGCCGAAACCAACCCCGAAGCCGAATCCTCCACCAGCGTGCTTTCCAACGGCGCAAAAGTCATCTCCTGCAGCGGCTGCTCTGGCAGCGAAGCCGTCGGCTGGATCGGCGGGCCGTCGGACGGGACGCTGAAAATTGTGGGGGTCCAGAGTAATGCGTCGACGAGGAGCACGATCCGCGTCAAGTATGAGAATGGGGATTCGAGTCAGCGCTATGCGACTGTTAGCGTCAATGGGAAGACGCAGGTTCTGGCGTTTTTGCCGTCGGGGGGTACGCCTGCGTCGTCGACGTTGCATGTTGATCTGAATAGTGGGAGTGGGAATACGGTTACCTTTAGTGCGTATGGACAGGGATATGGTAGGTTCCTTTCCTCCTTGAGCTATCCTTTCTTCCTTGAGTTATTGATGGCGTGCTGATGGATGTAGGACCGGATGTTGATCGATTGATGGTTCCTGATACGTAGTGTGTTGGCTCGGTGGGTCGATCGTTGCGCGCGTTTGGATCAGATCGCTTCAGGTATACTGATTGTAGCAAGGTGAATACAAACGCTATAGGAAATCTTGGAGACATGTTTATGAATAAGTGTAGAACAAGATACACAGTAGTATATCTTAGAGGCGGAGATAACACTGGTCTGTTTGACGATTCCACTAGCTCGCCAATTGACTCAGCTTGCCTTCTCGGATAGCATCTAATGGGTATCTGACGTTCTTCAGAGCATTCTGCGACACATTGATGTTCCAGAATGGGCTGTGGGCTGTCGGGAGTAATAGATTGACGTCAACTAAAAACGAACATCCAAGAGAGCTACTTCAAGTCTACTTTGCTGTAATTGCTGTATATACAACCAGTCTATCATCTATAGGTATCTATCAAGTCCAAGCTTCCCAGCTCAATCCGTCGCGGTAGACCAATCCATTCTGTGGTCCCTCGGAACTGATAATATACCCTCCTTCACAGGCTGAGTACGAGACCTTCGGCTGGGCACGGTAGAACTGATCATACTTTGTGTTCAGAGCATCCCGTAGATCCTTCACTGAGCCATCTGGGTGGATCACGTCCCACGGCTTGATGCAGGTATCGCCCTTGCACGATTTTAGAACCAGCAGTAGTGCGTCAAGACGAGTGATGACATTGGACAGATCGCGGCCAAGGAGACGGGGCGTCGTCGCATTGGCGTTGGTATAGAGATTGTTGACCTGGTAAGGGTCTCGGAGCATGTCGTACAGCTCGTGATCGTGGTTGCACCAGACCGAGTAATACAAGCTGTATCCGTTGCCAACGATCCGGGCGGATTTGTACGTGTTGTTGGGCATCGTGAACGAACCGCCAGGTGCTGCAGGTGTCAGTCATGTTTGGATACGAACTTGTTACAGTGAACTAACCCAAGGCACCGTATTCTCCTTCCAGCGGCGATTTACCCCAGAATTCGACTGCGACATGTTCGTGCGCGATGCCCTTTACCCCCTTTGCGACTGGCATCGGTGTGCCGTCAAAATCCTCTCGCAGAGGGATCCCTGCAAGCTTGAAGAAGGTCGGAGCCAGATCAATGTGCGTGGTCACCGTGTCGTCAGATTTTCCTTTGGGAATGCCGGGTCCGCGGATGTAGAACGGGACATGGATGTCCTCCTCGTAGCCAGACGACTTACCAGGCGGCATCCGGTGCTGGCCGATGTGGTATCCATTGTCCGCCGTGTAGACGATATACGTGTTTTCGGCCTGACCACTCTCTTCGAGTCGCGTGATAAGAGCATCAACCATCTCATCCAGTGCCTGCAGCGCGCGCAATCGCTGGCGGTAGAAATGATCCTGGTAGTCGATGACGGTCTGATTGGCCAGCGGGAGGTGCTGCACCCATCCGCCTCCGGTGGGCACCTTGGGGTTGAAATTCGCCGTCCGCGGCACCTTGGCATCGGGAAAGAGATCCTTGTGTCGCTCGGCGGGAATGGGAGCGGTCATCAGTGTACCCTTTGTGCCCCCAGTGCCCAGCGCACTAGGGTCAATGTTGGAATGCGGCGCAATGGGAGCAACGGCAAGGAAGAATGGCCGATCACTGCTTAGAGCGTCGTTGAGAAAGCCCAGGGACTTTTCACTGATGACGTCTGTCGTATATTGGCCCGCATAGCTCTTGGGGGGCTCGCGATTCCGCTGGTATGTGGAGTTGAGGTACGAATATGTGTACGGATCAAGCAGAAAGTCTGATCCATTCCACCCTTTGGGGAAAGGAGAGTTGTAGTTACTGGTCGTGTGGCCGTTCATGAGTTTGCCCGTGTAGTAGGTGTTGTAGCCGGCTTCCTGCAGCCACACAGGGAGCCAGGCCTCATTGAAACCCTGTGACACGAACTTGGAGTATCCTCCTATACTCTCGTCAGCAATTACTCATCTGTTTCACAGCGAAGGCCAGCTCACCCCATGGTGGCGAAACATCTGTAACCTGTGCATCGTTAGCATCTTCACTGTCATTCATGTCAAAGACAATGCTTACATTGGTGTTGTGAGCCTGCCGTCCTGTCCACAAACTGACCCGCGACGGACAGCAGAGGGAGGTGGTCACAAAGTGATTGGTAAATTCAATGCCCTGGTCTCGGATATGTTTCTGGATATACGGTGTGAAGGCCGGGGAATTCAATTCCAGATCTTGATCGTCGGACATGATGAACAGTACGTTTGGCTGCTTTGCCAGTTTCCTGGGCATGAGTAGCGTATCCTGGCCGATGGATGCAGCCTCGGAGGCCGCTAGAAGCCCTGAAAGGGCTATAAGACTATGAACCTTCATGTTCAAGGGAACTGAAGAGCATAAGTTATCAGAATGGAAGCTTCACCGTGTCGTTGTGACGGGGAAGCTAGCAGCTTTAAAGAGTCTGCAATGGGGATAAGTGAAAGTATTGATCTTTTGACAGCGGGATGACGCGATTGAATAAGTCAGTGCTTTCATTCAGCCGCTGACTCTCAAGACTGGAGATAAATGCGGTGAAGCAGGGGGAGTTCCGCGCATGGCTCTGTTGATCTTTAAGGAGCCAGCAATGGACCACACTGATCGATGGGTCAGGATAGCGGGTCGGCAAAACAAGTCAATATTACGGAGTTAATACTAGCTCGGAGTATAAAACTCTGAGACGATCATATCCGTCATTGGACGAGAATCAATGTTCACGATAGCCATAGGAGGAGTCCGAGGGTATCGAAAAAATTGCCGTTTTAGCGTTTTGTGGCACCATTTCCACCCAATAGAGCCGGGTTGCAGCAGAACAATTGCAGCTCGGGCTAATCAGGTCTCGCAGCAAAATGCTTGTTTATGTTGTATAGCCCATGCAGATGCAGAATACGTCGGCATATTTTTCCCCGCTGTCTTAGTCTTGCGAGTTTTCCCCGAGGTCTGCCCTCAGTGTCGCGTATTTAGTCCGTATCTTCTTCATCGGATACGCAAGACGGCAGTTAGCCGAGCCCATAAGATGATATCATGTATATTCGAGTAGAGTGAGATCGCCAGTTGACTATACCAGGATCGAATAAGCCCACTGCGGGTCGGCGCAATTACGTGCTCCGCCTTAAGATGAGCTCATCAATTGTAGCGCATTATCAAAGGCGACTCGATCGCTTAGCCAGCATGATATCTCTCTGAATTAAGTCTCTGCTAGTCACGACTCTCCTGAACTTTTGACTTGTATGACTCAGATCGCCTGTAGCACCGTCTACGCTGTGTTACGGAGTAGACGCGTCGCTTGAGAGTTGGCTGAAGAGCCTTCCTTTTATCATAGAGCAGACTGGATTCTAGTATGTTGCAATTGGTAGTACAACGATCGCGCACTTGGCTCATCACACATAATGGCAGCCATTGTTGGGATTGTTGTGTTGATTCCGGTTCATCAACCACATGGCGGTGGAGAGGCGTGTTGTCGCTACTGTTTGAAGAGAAGCTTAAATCGAAACAACTATCGTGCAAGCCGGGTCATCTGCAAATCATATCCATTCATTGATCAATTAAATCATCGGTCGTAATCTCGTGTCGCAGATTATATACTAAACTAGATATGGAACGAGTCCACATTCTGCAGAATAAAATTGTACGTGTCGTTGCGGAAATTATCAGCCAGCAAGGCCCCTTGATTGTTGAAGAACTGCATCAGCTGCTGGCCTTGGTTCCACTGCGGCCATTTCATAAGACTGCCCCGGCGCGAGTTGGGATCGAGATCGTACACGAAGCTGAAATAGTAGGTGTGAATCGCGCGCGACGCGTAATTCGGCAGAATGCCATAAAATACCTGCAGAATATCACTGCCGTGGAAGGTGCCCATGATGGGCGTCCCATAGTCGTACGATGCCAGGTATGACCAGCACGGCAGGTCGGGCTTAAGCTCCGTCACGTACTTGAGATACGCTCGGCGCGTCAGAGTGAAGGTCAGATCGCCCAGCAGGGCCGCCAATCGTTTGAACTGCGGATACCAGTTGTTGAAAATGCCTGTGCGGAAGGGCGAGCCGTCTGTGGTGACGTCCGGATAGGTGGCCACCAGCTGCTCGAGCTGGTCCCGCGTCGCCCCAAAGAAGAAATACTTGGCCAGGTAGTCCACCACCTGTGTGGTGGTGGTGATATTGGACTGGAAGAGCGCAAATAGCGTCCCTTCATCCTCCTGGTCGCCGATAATGATTGGTACGGCCGCGTATTTGCCCGTTTTGACCAAAACGTCCGGGCTGGCAGTGATTACCTTGCCGTCCGGTCGAGGCAGGTATGACAAGGCCACGGAATGGTAGCTCAGGAGGCCTGGCACCGAGTTGGCCGCATTCAGAAAGTCAGTATAGTCCAATCCGCGCAGACACTCGAGCGTGTTTGCCGCGGATGAGCAGCCGGCATAGTTCACAACCGCATCATAGACCTGCTGCCCCTTGACCCCGTCTATGGGATCCGCCGGGATCACGCTACCCGAGTTCATGATGCCGCCCCGGAATAGTGGCTTCCCCTTGTAGGTATTGTCGCCATCGTACAGGATCATGTGATCGAAAACAGAGATGGATCCGGCGGACTCACCCCAGATGGTCACCTTGTCCGGATCGCCACCAAAGGCTGCGATGTTGTCTGCCACCCACTGCAGGGCCAGTCGTTGGTCCAGGAGCCCCAGGTTGGCCGCACCATCTGCAAGGATCTCCTTCCCGGGCATAAACCCAAACCCTCCCACTCGATAGTTCATCGCGACAAAGACAATTGGCGTGCCCAGGTCGATCGAGCTTGCCACCAGCGAAGTGGCATCGTACGTGGCCGTCGCACCCAGCTCGAAGCCACCGCCGTAGATCCACACCAGGACAGGCAGCTTCGAGCCTGGCGTTGTGCCGGACGGACGGGCGACGTTCAGAGTCAGACAGTCCTCTCCGGCATTCGTCACGGTCTGGAAGAGGGGAATGTTGGCCAGGAGGCCGGCGACGGACCCAGGAAACTCGCTGTTGTCCGTCGAGAAAAAGAACTGAGGGCAC